CGGTATCCCCGCCCTTATACTAGAATTACAACTATTCAGGTCCCTTCAGTGATTCACTTTCTCCTCTTGGTGGAGTGTACCCAGGCATAGGATTTCACTGTGAGAAGTACAGTAGATTTAACAAGTAAACTGCTCTAAAGAACATTTGGCACATTTTGAAAACATTCGCAACGACGCCTAATTTTAATCCCCTCGAAATGTGCATTGAAATCAATGTGCGCCTCCCTCATTGCCCACCTCTAGAAATCACTCAATCTGTTTTTTCTTTTTTTTGTCTGACAATTAAGACTCCATGGGTTTTTTGGCTTTTTCAAGTTATGGTGCTAGAAAATAGCCCGTAGCACGTAGGTAAAACAGGGGATCCGACGCTCCAACTTATGTCAGCGATCGAAAATCAAGACGCCGTTCTGTACGCTAAACTGTCGAACACAGGTTGCGCTGGACACGTAATCCGTAGGTACGACAACCGATAGACAAAAGCCGTTAGCAACTTGGATTCGTCGGGATGCCAAACGTACAATGGGACGGTCAATTACCCGCTAGCTGGAGTTGTAAATGAAAACCCTAGAAGAAAGATATGATGCTCAACCAGTCTCTAGAGGTAGCAGAACCTACTGGGCTAATCTTTCAGGGAAGGGTAGAAGCAACATGGAGAAACGAAAAGTTCAAAAAGTTTTGGAGACTTTAAAATGTTCGGCAAAAAAGCATTATAATGCTTCCACCTCTTTTCCGTACGACTGGCCTCGCTTAGGAGACGGGTAATTGAAAAGGTAAGTAGTCTGAATACAAATTTGAGGTGAACTAAGGCGGACTTGGTCGCTCAGATCTTCCATCTTAGTTTTCTACAGGTTCTCAATAATACATCCTTCACCTGTTGACCAAAACGTCTGAATAACAATAACTTTCCATAATGACGGGAAATAAGACTACCTCAATACTGACCTTCGGGACTATTGGAGGGAGAAAATCGCGTTGCGCCAAGAAACTGAGGTGGTAGCATTCATAAATAGTAAAGATAAAGCTCTTATCAATGATCAATACCTGAGGAATGCGCATTGCATTCGACTTCAGAAAGCATTGTTGGAAGTGAGTGAATGAATATCTGACATATACAATGATTTGCGGTGGCTTACAGATCTGCCAAGTCAGTGCTGCTGTCCTCTCAGATCGGTTCGGCAGCAAATTGCCGACCGCTGGGAGATGGAAGATATCGCGAGTCCGGGGGTGGCATCGAAGCATGGACCACGTGGGTATCGCAGAGCACATCTAACCACTATGCTGCACGTACCTTATCATATGTATAGCATAATATTACTACCGCTAAATGGACAAAGTTATAGTGTAAGACGACATGGAGAGCTCCGTAAATAATGGTGTGACTAAATCGGTGGTGATGAAGCAAAAAGGCGAGATTTATCTAAAAACTCCAGGAGGGGAAATTGCACTGACATTCTCGCTAGGCGTGCAAAACCTCTTAATGGTTACACAGCCTGCTTTGTTCATTACAGGTTGGATTTTTTTACACGATCCAACGTTCACATCTGCTGTGTGGATACCAGTACTTCTCGTATTCGATTCGTTTCCTCGCATCCATAATAGGGCTTCCAATTTTTTTACGTGTGGCCTTGGCTGCTGCTTGAGGATTTTCCTTCAATCATGAACGGCGTTGAATGCTGGTCGAGTCAATTATACTTGGAGTTCTAAGACAGCTGGGTTGGAGCGTTCCAACTTGGATTGGAGAGATTGGAGAGGTGAACTTTTCGTAGATAAGTCCAACACCAAATTCCCGGCTCTGGAGGGATGGGACGCTTGTTGACCTCGGAGCGGTATCGAACTAGAGCCATGTTCGTGACGATCGGCATGACTACCACTGCGCCACCCGCCGTCTATACATTGGATCATCTACTAAATTAAGGCAGGCTAACAGTTTTTCAAATCTGGTTCTTGACACAGATTGAAATTAGTTAAGATTTTATCCTAAAGCCAGACTAACATTCTAACGATACAATCGCTCATCCTTTGCAGATAAAGAATTCCCATTTGTCCGCACTTGTTGGTCTCATCGGCATAAGGTCCAAGACACTAGCTATAAATAATCCAAGTAAATCGGTTCCCGCCCATCACCTTCAGTCGAGGGTAGTGAAGCACCACAGTAACTGACCACTTATCCCTGACCTCACTCTCGCGCTCATCAGATTCATTGGCTGATTCTTCATGGGAACTCTCGACGGGAACAACAAGACCCACTACTGTTCACTCTCAATGATGACAAATGCACTTTGTGATGATTCAAGCCATTAAAATTGCAAACATCAAAGAAAAACTAGCATGACTTAAAAATATTAACAAAGCAGCTCAACAAAAACAATCGATACGTATTTCTTTCATTGATAAACTAACTAGAAGTCGATAAAGAAGACAAAGGCGCCGAAACGTTAACTGAATGAAGTTTTTCTTCTATCAACCTCGTATTGGCTTATCAGTGAAGAAAACAGAAATTGATTATTCATGCCGAGGTTTAAAAAAAGGCGATTTTTGGAATGAAAAACAATGGAGTCAGGGTTTTAAAACAACCTATATTTAGGTGCGTGGAAGAAATCAAATTACGTTGTGATAAATATTGAAAAGAAAACAACTAACCGGAAAAAGCTCGCTTATAGAAGAACGTGCGCCACTAAGTCCTTGAAAACCGCGCTCTCGCGCTAACGTACTTTTAAAGGCTTCCTGGAAACCCAGGGAGTACTTGTCAGACGTCGTGTGCAGTGCTCGTAGTTGTCTGCGCTTTGCTTCCAGGAGATTCTCAATATTCTGTCTTATATGGTTTTAACGTAGTCTAACAGAGTAGAGGACAGTTGTTTCAACTAAGTTCAGTCCACCACTTTATTGTGGACTATTGCATATTCATGTTAAGTCCATCACTCCTATATCGTCTCAAATCTTCTTTCGTACAAAACAATCTGGCCAGGATAGTTACAGATCTATTAGAACGGATCCGTATCTTACTGTAATCGCAATTACGTATCCTTCCAAGGGGCGCGTGTGGCGCAGTGGTCGGAGGCGCTCTGCAACACACGCGGGATCGATCTCCAGGCCCATGGCCCACCAAACCTTCCATCCTTCTGGGGTAGGCAAATTGGTATCAGACTTGTCTGGCAGGGTAGCAGCACTGGCCCGATACAGCCACAGCGAGTCGTTTTAAAGGCCAGATATGCATTCAGTCATCTCCAAACGATGCTTAGTGAAATCGAATGTGTGGAGCATCCCTCAGGGATTGATCAATGTCGAGAGAGTTATCCTTTTATCCTTTACTCCAATGGTTTATCGCCTCATCGTGGCTGAGAGGTGTTCTTGGGTGTTGGGCTGCGATGTACAGCAGGGGATTCATCTTCCCAGCAGGGCCTCAAAACCTGAGAAGGAGTCCGGTGTTTCCATCAGGAAACCCCGCTAAGAGTAAGCCAATGCAGGAATCCGTCACCGTCCTGGTACCAAACTAGTCGAATGGTAGCAAATCTCCTCTGATCCTTAAAGGCGGCGACTGTCTGTGGTGGTGACGACGTGGGGCAGACTTTGGATAGGCTGACCTCGGGACTCCAGGAAACCACACTGGCTAAACCAGCAAAACTCCGAAAAAATGGAAATTATGCTGGGGCTCGCACAACCAGTGAAAACAGGCCATCCAAGTACCTAACTTAGTAAATTGCCATTTTTATGTTGAGATGGATCGTTATTTCTTGAAGAATAACAGCATTTTCTGGGTAGTTTAATGGTTTCCCGTTAACTATGCTTGTCTCTACGTAAGTAAAGTGTTCTGCAAGCCCCTTATCACTTATAGTCAGACTGGTCAAATATGTCTGGCGGTTGTTTTGCGATAGGCGATAACACTGATATGGTGCTATGGCGTTCCCACCAAACCTAGAAATCGACATTTCCAACCAATTCCACTTCAAGAGCAAAGTGTTGATCATTTCTTTTGGCCGAAGTTCTCTCTGCCCTCTTTTAGACCCTGAGGGAATGAATTCTCTCCAACGCCCACTATTAACCTCGACATTGATTGGGCAGTTCTTTATATTCTTGTTGAACAAACACGAGGTGTTACTTTATCCCTTTATTCACGAACAAGCTGACGTTTCGGTGGATTTCGCCTTCCTAAGAGCTTGAAAAGGTCAAATTGACAGCAATCTACCCAGCCAAACACCTCCATAACACCCTCTATCTGTTTGGTTATGGTGGCTTTTGGCTGGGAGATTGTGGTCAATGTGAACTCTCTCAGCGGTTTACCGCCTCATCGTGGCTGAGAGGTGTTCCTGTGTGTCGGACTGCGATGTACAACGGGCGTATTCGTCCCCCGGCAGGGTCTCCCATGCTGAGAAGGAGTCCGGCGTTTCCATCAGGAAGCCTATCTAAGAGTAAACCAATACCAGGATCCACCGCCGTCCTGGTATTAAATTAGTCGTATGGTGGCAAATCTCCCTCTGATGCACGAAGGCTGCGTCTGCCCGTGCTGGTGAAGACCTGGGGCAGACTTTGGCCAGGGTGACCTCGGGGTTCCAGGGAATCACAATGGCTTAACCAGCAAATATCTGGCAAATGGTGATTATGCTGAGGCCCGCACAACCAGTGGGGCCGTTCATGTGTCAAGTGTCAAGTCAACTCTCCAATGCTTCTGCCTGGACATTGGATCGCTGTCCATTTAACCACTTTAAGTCGTTATACCTAGAAAGTAAAAGTCTGATATGAATGTATGAAGAAGAAGAAAGGTCTAGTTATAATGTCTTTGCAAATACCATTTCCGGAAGAGTTATTAATGTTTGGAAGGTGCTTCATCAAATTTGAGTTCAGATCTAACATGAACTAGTCAGGTTCTGTTGACATATTGGTTATAACGATTTCTGTATCCTTTCCTTGTCCCATTTTTGTTCTTAATAGCCGTTACTACATTAATTCTGGTTTACAATATATATTTCGGAAGTTTGTACCTCGATTTACTTTGTAGAGGAGAGATGTATCGGGACCCATCAACCTCGTCGAATTACGACAAAATCAGAGTGACGCACTACTTTCTAAACTGGAACATAAATTTCATCGAAAAGAAGATCATAGGTTCCATTGTAATGACTTTAAAGGCACTTTGTGATGTAAGCGAAGTAGTAAGTTATACACTCTATCTCAGGTTATCTTCCTTTTCTTTGCAATTAAGGTCTTTTGTAGATTCTTGATGGTGAGAAACTTTCCATCTCAGGAGTCAAAGTGAATGGAAATGGAGCCAAATTCCACGTTAATGCTGGGATACCAATTGGAGAGAAGATTGTAATTGAAACGCCACATATAAAGAAGGGTGAAGAAGTGTAAGATTCTGAGCTCAGAGATAGTGTCGTTCGACCTAGCCCGTAACTTCGCTGGATGTATTTGTAGGACGATTGACATTGAGTACTCAACGGCAAGCGAAGCATCAGCCCTTCAATTTATGGATAAGGAACTCACAGTCGATAATAAGGTTTGATGTTTTGTGAAATCGATAAATCCATAGTTCTTTGTATGAGTAAAATAACTATACTGGTTCTTCTTTGTCACCTCTTCTTACCTTTCTTGACTTCCAATCGAATACGTTTTATTAATATCGATATTGACCCCCAAGACCGACTTATCGGCAGTTTCGCCTTCTTCAGAGCGTGGAAGGGTCAAATTGATACACAGTCTACTTAGTCAAACACTTTCAAAACCTTAGCAGATAGGACTTAACACAAAAATTTGCATTCGCGTAATGAACAGCTGCGTTTAAACAAAAAAAAAAAAAAATACGATAGGTTCTAACTTACTATTTACTGCCTACTCTTTTTAATGGCAGGTTGTGTTGCGAAATATAACTTCAGTGACGCTGGGATATTTGCAAAATTTCGGACCGCAGCTGTCTGTGGTGGGGTGGCGAACGAATGCACGATTTTCCTCTCCGGGGAATAACGCATTCACCATCACACTATGCGGGTCTTTAGTTCCGCCTGTCTCTCAGCTAGTTCTATCGTTCTCTGCCATCAGCAATCACTCGTTTGCTCAGCGGAATTGATCTGGGGAGCCCAAATCGGCAGCGAACATAGTTAAGCTGGTGCTGTAATTTTTTTTAAATCACAATTTTAACTTATCTAAGAAATAGCTGAGAGACAGGCGAAACGAAGGACCCGTACGGTGTGGTGGTGAACGCGTTACTCCCCGGAAAGGACAATAGCGCGTTAGTTCCCCACAGCACACACCTGCGGTCCGAAGTTTTATAAATATCACTAATCAATATGTATTCTTTCTTTGATGAGCTTACACGAAGTTGATAATGATGTTTATTTTTGGCTAACGTTTCGACGTCTTCATCTTCCTCAAAGCCGATGATCCGAGTCGATGGTCCTCGCATGTTATTAGTCTCGACGTGGCAGCTTCGCCTTCGTGTCGAGTCAGGTCTTCTCCAGTGAGCCACTTCCTCGAATGAGGCATCCTTACTCAGTGATGCCCGTTTATACACGATGCTGATGGTGGATATAATGATAATGTCCGGTGATAAGAACTTGTTTTTCTTCCGGTCGTAATCATCGCGCACATCGTGCAGAAGTCGGTGTTATTATCAGCTAGCACAAAGCTGGCAGAAAAACAAGTTGTTATCACCAGACGTTATCATTATATCCACCATCAGCGTTGTGTATAAAAGGGCATCACTGAGTAAGGATGCCTCATTCGAGGAAGTGGCTCACTGGAGAAGACCTGACTCGACACGAAGGCGAAGCTGCCACGTCGAGACTAATAACATGCAAGGACTATCGACTCGGATCATCGGCTCTGAGGAAGACGAAGACGTCGAAACGTTAACCGAAAATAAACATCATTATCAACCTCGTGTAAGCTCATCAAAGAAAGAATGCAGATTTATGTGTTAAGTTTTATCCGCTGAGGTTATGAGTGTTTGGCTGAGTAGACTGTGTGTCAGTTTGACTCTTCCATGCTCTGAAGAAGGTGAAGTCGCCGAGGCGTCAGTTACCGTGTGCTTACAAATCCTATGATACCAACCTCGTGTTTGCTCATTGAAGAAAAAGCGAATTATCGATGTTGTTCGTTAACACACGCGACGTTTCCGGTGACAGTGGCTTGGACTGACGACTAATTTTCGTGGACTCCGACGCACTTTTCAATAACTGAAAAAATTGATGAGTTGAGAACGTGGCTTATAGACCTATTCAAAAGGTTTTACACTATTGCAGTAGATCTCTCAAAGGTGTTGTTTTAATTGCAACCATTAAACATTTAAAATTTGTAAGTAGTTCGTTCAAATTCTCATGAAAAAAAATTGAAAGAAGGTTCAGAAGAATTAAATTAAAGTGGTATGTTAAAGTAGTTAAGAAAAGGACAAATCATACAGGGTTATGTACTTTCTCTTCACCCTTAAACACAATTGACCTGGTATTTGTTGAGTTCGTTTCCTTTTAAATTCCAGGGATCTTATTTATTCTCCCAATGTCAAGCAATACATGCTCGCTCTATTATGCCATGTATGGATACCCCATCCGTGAAGTCATCGTACGATGCCAAGGTTGGTTCGACTCCAGTCTTTTAAGGGACCAAGGTATTAGTATTGTAGGTGTTAGGATCCTTAATGTAGAAATTTGGTGGAATCTTGCACCAATCATTACGTATGCATTAGTACTGGATCACTCGCAAATTTCTAATTCTGTAAGTTGGTTGGTTTTTTCTTTAAACGGCTGAAGAGCTGGTTGTGTGCTAGCTTTTGTCTTCAAATTAACTGTTGAATGTTAGTGAATAGGCCATGGGTGTATATCATGTGATATTCATTATGAGAAATTCTTACTAATCGTGTGCTATATCAGATTGGGTTTTTATGGATGGCATTAGCTTTGATCACGCTCTGTTCTATGTTTCTTTTAGCTTTCAAATACATCTCTGCTTCTTTTTTCTTTTCACATTTTTTTGCAATATGAATAATTAGTCTTTGGAGCCGAAGCTGTACCGAACTCAGCCGTCCTTACCTAAATGTGCAAATATCCGTAATCTCGTTTCTCATTGACTAAGCAGGCGGGTTCAAGTCTCCATACATTGTGAACACCTACTGACCATGACGTGGCGGTGAATTAGTTGTATTCTCAACACAGCAAGAAAATGAATGTCTTTCCGTTTCTGGTTTGCTGAGATATATATCGACCAGTTGTAAGAATTAGGTTTATTGTATATGTTATCGTTTGCCAGACTGACTACTTTGCGCAACACAAAGTATAACCATCTCTGATTGGTCATCATGTGCATCATATTTAGCTCCTTTTTTCATCGTCTATTGAAGTACGCTCTCTCATATGAGAATCACACTTTATATAGTTTTTCGTTGGTGTTTGCGTACAGGGCAGTTATTAAAGATTTAATGACTCGTCAGCTTGAATGACCCTGGTGTGAAGAGGTTGTGTATTACATTTCAACACTGAGAAAGCCACATCCTGGCCCGGTGAGGTGGTGAATCATTGCTTGGTGTATAGTAGCCATATCATTCGATGGCGATGCCTCTATTACTTGATAAGCCATGCCATCACCTGATCCAAGATAATAGGATGATTAGAAGCTGAATACACGAACATGCCATTTTTGATACCTCGACGTTTTCCTGGTGGAGTTTTTCATTCCTTCAAACACTATATCATTTTCCGACGTCTATAGGGACTCCAAACAGAACAGTTAGAGCAAATATATTTATATGTGTATATATGGGTATATCTACGTATATATACGTATGAAAACACATGTATGTATGTGTACATATATTATGTTGTTTAGAAATAAATGAGCGTTTTTAACTACATTATTTAAAATGTCATAGCCTGCTTCAAACAAAGCTTTATTAGTCAAAATAAAACCCATTTGAATCTACACATTTTTGCCAACGAGGAACAAGTATTTCAGTTGCATAAAATTTTGGAGTTCTGGAAGCGATGAAGGCATTTTTTTGCGTCATCGTGGTTGGTGAAGCGCTTCTCGCCCAGGAAGTGCCCAAGGTTCTGGTGAATATGAAGGACGACGCAAAGTTTCGTAACCCAACTCGTTCAACTTCTGCAGGGCTGGTTCCGCAACGTTAGGTTGGGCATTGTCGTGGAGGATTGGTCCTTTTCTGTTAACTAATACCGGTCGTTGTTGTTAGAGTTTACGGTGCCTTTCGTCGATTTATTGGCAATGCCTCTCTGCCGTATTCGTTTCGCTCGGAGTGGAAAAATGTGCTGAATCAACTTGACTGCAGGTCACCAAATAGTCACCATAACTTTTTTTTGGTGCAATTCGGCTTTGGGAGGTGCTGTGGAGCCTGATCGCAATCTAGCCATTGAGGTGAACGTCGCCGGTTGTCGTACAGAATCCACTTCTCTTCGCACGTCACAGTTCGATCAAGAAAACGGTTGTTTTTGTTGGTCAGAATAAGAGCATATAACACGTCAGAACGGCGATTTTTTCGATGACCGTTTAATTCGTGTGGCACCTACTTGTCGGTTTTTTTGTCTTTCCTATACGATTCAAGTGAGTGCAGCTTGTTCCTGTGCTTACGCCAAGGTGTTCTGCAAGCTCTCAAACAGTTGTTCGCGTGATTGCTTCCACTAGTGCCTTCAATTCGTTGTAGTCAAGTTCATTGGGACGTCAACAGCCTTCTGTAAGTTCAAGGTTGAATTCACCAGGTTGGAACCTCCGGAATCGCGTTCGCACTGCTCATTCACTGACACACCTTCACCCCAAACTTCACTAATGTTTCGAGCCTTCTCTGCTGCCCTGCAACCGAGTTACATGTACATACATGTACGTACATTTGCATAGATATACATCCATGTGCATTCACATATGTACAGATACATACATATACATACACACATAGAATGCATACACGTACACATACACGTACGTATATACAGAAGCATTGACGATGACAAGGGAAAAGAATTTTTCAGGTCACAGTACCATCCAGATTGACTTGTCTAATGAGTGCGATTGGTACGCATAAAGAAGAGACGGGTGATACCACCACGTACACGTTTCATCAACCGGTGCTAGTACCATCATATTTGCTAGCTATTGTTGTTGGTCACCTTGAGTGCAGAGATGTCAGCCCACGGTATAGTGAAGATCATTGTTTGACGAATCTTACCTTTTATTACTGGACTTCCTCGTGTTTGTATATCAGTGTGAATATATTTAGTCACATATCATTCCGTGTATGCATACTGGACATTGATTATTGTGTTTTACACACGGAAGAATACTCAACTGTTGTATCCTATGTTCCCAATATATACAAACATATGATATATTTTGTGGTAGAAATGAGGTATAGATTAGGGTAGGCATGTTACGAAAATCTGTCTGAATCACGGTAACAGTGTGTAAGAAAGTAGGTTCTTAACGGAAATCACTAAATAGTTCTTGATCTGATGGTTTTCGCCAGTAAGGTGGTTTCATGGACACAGTCTCTATTCTCATTCCTTAGAAAATTTGTTTAATTGAAAGATATGTTGTCCAGCGTGCAGGCCGACCCCTTCAATTTTGATTTCAATAGATTTTGCAGCACTTTATTCAATTAATGCTTAGTAATTCTCATCTCAAGCTTCTTATATTCTCATTGAGAATTCAGAATTACGTTGTACTAGGCAGAGATTGTATTCATTTGACGTTGTGTGCAGACTTCTTTTGACATTAGGTGTTGTTCGTAACTTCTAAGCACCATCTCCTTAGTGGAACTATTTTTCTCCTCTTCAGGACGAAATTTTTTAATAACTCGAAAGACCGACTTTCTATAAACCTCGGCCTAGATACTTGATATATTTCTTTATGCGATCTTATAAACTGATCTTCTTAAGCTGACGCGAGGTTAGCACAGATCTTCGTTGTTGTCGTTGTTTTTGATGTTGTTGATCGATGATTGACGTTTCGGCGACTTCGTCTTCCTCAGAGCCGTGATGTTACGTGCGGAATTCCTAAGCCGTTCATCATGTTGATTTCCCGACCCGGATAGACGTAGCTGGAACATTCGGAGATATTCGTACCGTTGAGCGTAAATGGAGCATAAAGTAATAATATAAATGTTAAATCGGTTGCATTCTGAGCTTGGAATATGTTTTTTGGCGGCTGAATTTGTGATCTTGCACTTGTTAAGTGCCAAAATTTCTTAGGTTCGCTGAAATAGATGTTTCCGTCCCATTTAAGTTGTAATTTAATTGTCTACATAATGGAACTAGCACGAGCTTAGTATAAAGAGTTCTTTTCGATTGACATTTTGGCGCCTTCGCCTTCTTCAGAACCTCATTGATCCGAGTCGATGGTCCACAGCCGGATCTGATTCGAGCGGTGCTCCAGTCACTGGATTCGACTCGATGTTACAACGACCAGCTGTGGACTCGGTTCAATCCCGCTCTGAAGAAGGCAAAAACAATTAAAAGTTTCTATACCAATCTCGTGTCAGTTCAGTCATGTAGGAAATTATGGATTATTCTTGCCGAAGTTTGATGAAAATTGGTTTTTAAGTTAGTATGTGATTTTGTTTTTCATTTCTCGTGAGTTGTACTTTAAACTACGTATTTATGAAGTCTACATACCTATTTCATGTTATCACTTAACACTTTTGTCTGTATTTGGCCGCTGCTGCAGTTGTGTAATGCTTCAATACCAACCATTCTTTACATGCTGATGTAATAGTGGCGAATCATCTAACCTATTGCAGGTGTGCCGTTTGGAGTGAGCCGTCGATCGTTGATTTGGCCAAATGGGAATTTGAAGACACTGAAAAGATTTTGCAAGTTGCTGAAGAATTGGTGGGTCCTTATCGATGGGGAAGGTGCGTGAAATCATCAAATTAATATTAAATTTTGAGAACTGAAAAATTTCGAAAAAATATAGTTGGTATTTATCGATGGAGGTGGTATGTGAAATCATCAAATTGAAACTAAATTCGAACTTTAAATGTGTTATAGGTATGATCTAGTAGTGTTACCACCAACGTTTCCATTCGGAGGCATGGAAAATCCTTGTCTGACTTTCGTCACTCCCACCTTGTTGGTAGGGTATTATAAGCTTGTTTTAGTTTCGGCTATCCTCACTAGTGTGCTAGTCGTTCTCTGAATACTCAGTTATCATAGGCTGGCGACCGCTCGTTAGTAACTGTGGTAGCACACGAAATAGCTCACAGTTGGACTGGGAATCTTGTCACAAATGCTAGCTGGGAGCATTTTTGGTAAGGAATTCTTAAATAAACATTGGTTGCCTTTTCTTAAACTACTGTGCTCTGGGCAGTTGAATTAATGTGGCTTTAATGATGAGGCTACCACCAAAATCTTAAGCACAATAAAAACTTTGTACTAGCGAAGACTACTAATAAAAAGAGAAGTTGATCAGAAGTACTTGAAACTGCTCATACGAAGACGAGGACGCCAAATCGGGAAGAAGAACAACTGTGTATCATCGACTCGGATTATCGGCTCTGATGAAGACGAAGCCATCGAAACATTAGCCGAATGAAACTGTTTATTAAACTCGTGTTAGCTTATCAGTGAAAGAATATATGTTGTTATTACGTTTGTACTAGTCTTATGTAATCTTATCAATAATGGATCATATTCATATTAGAAATCGCTAAAAAGATCAGTAGAACTTTTTATAGAAGGCACTTTCAATTTTCCTTTACAGGTTAAATGAGGGTTTTACTGTATTTTTGGAACGGAAAATACTCGGACGACTTCAAGGTGAACTTGAGAGGCAGTTTCAGAGCGAATGTGGTTTTGATGTAGGCTTATCGTCGTTGGAAATCCTAGCAACTTCTCACTATTCCTTGATTATTTTCAAGTTAGAGTTGCTTCTGTTTGTTCCAGGAATCTCTGAACACAGCTGTGAAGACGTTCGGCGATTTACATGAGTTTACGAAGCTTATTCCAGACCTTCGTGGCGCTGATCCAGATGACGCTTTTAGTTCGGTACCGTACGAAAAGGTTGCTGTTAAGTATTCGTTTTTTGCTATATTTTCCTCATTGTTTACCGTTATTTTCATCTAAGATCATCAACGGGTTACTGTTAAGTGTTACTATGACTAGTATTTGACTCATGATGCACCAGTTCAAAGTAATACATACATGTTGGTCAACCTTCTTGGAATAGTAATGTGCTACTGTTTTGTATAGTAAGTTACATATATATTTGATGTTTTAATATTTTGACCTCCCAACGGTTTACCCACTCATCATGGTTGGTGGTGTTCCTGGGTGTCGGGCTGCGATGTACAGTTGGAGATTCATCCCTCTGGCAGGGTCTCCCAAGCTGAGAAGGAGTCCGGCTTTTCCATCAAGAAGCCCGGTTAATAGTAAACCGATACCAGACATCACCACCGTTCTGGTATGAAACTAGTCCTATGGTGGCAAATCTCGCTCTGATCCACAAGGGCGGCGACTGACTGGTGGTGGTGACGACCTTAGGCAGACTGGCTAGGCTGACCTCGGGACTCCAGGGAACCGCAATGACTAGGCGAGCAAAACTCCGAAAAATAGAAATTATGCTGAGGCCCGCCCGCACAACTACTGAAGACGGGGCATTCAGCTATCAAGTAGGTAATATTTTGAAGAGAGCGAAAGGTAGAGAGGGAAGTAGAATCTGCTGTAAACTACTGAGCTTTGTAATACAAAGGACTTCGTTTCTTGTGAAAGTTCCGTGCTGTAGTCAATGTTTTGAACAACTGGTCTAGCTAGTGGTTTAATTATTGCTTTCTATTGTGATTTAATAACGACGTGAATTTCCAATGGTTTCTTTTTGTCATGGTTTCTAATATGGTTTTGTATGAAAGACGAAGAATTTCAGGGCTCTGCGTTTCTGTTCACTATCGAGCAACTTCTTGGTGATGCTGTTCGTTTCGAAGATTTTTTACGAACGTATATTAATAAGTGGGAAACACTCTGAGTAAAAATAATTTTTTTCCTCCAAATATTTTATTGACTCGAAAGACCAACTTTCTTTGAACCTCGGCATAGATAGTTGATATATTTATTTATGTGATCTTATAAACTGATCTTCTTAAGCTGACGCGAGGTTGGTACAGATCTTCGTCGTCGTTGTCGTTGTTTTTGATGTTATTGATCGATGGCTGACGTTTCGGCGACTTCGCCTTCCTCAGAGCCTGGACGTACTTTATGTTAGAATACTTTTTATTATTCGGTGGAAAAGAAGGTTAAAGTATTAATGAAGATCAAACTTTCAAATAGACGCCATATTGAACAGAAAGGCCACTCACCGTGATGTTACGTGCGGGACTGGCCCACACGTAGTTCACGCGAGCAAGACACGCCCCGGGGTCAAAATATCATTTTGAAATAGGGCGCCAGGTCACGCGTGATAGTGAGGCATTCGTCCTTCCGGTTCATCTTTGGATTTTTGAAATTTATCCAAAACGCCTCAAGAGTTTTGCGCGTTGATGTTTTTGATTCCTGCACTAGGATCCGCACATTCACTTCAAAATCATCGCCGTTGTGCTTTTGTGCCCTATGCGTCCCTAGAGGAGTGTATAGACGGATTTTAACTTCCCCATCTAGATGTTCTTTTATGCGGACACAAAGTGGTCTACTCGTTTCCCCGATATATTCCTCGCCGCATGCATTATATGAGATCAAGTATATTATACCTGAACTTATGCAATCCCCGTCTCTCCCGTTAGGACAGATCATACAGTTTTCTGAGCTGCACAAACGATCATAGGGACGGTTACGAACTAACTGGCGGCGTAGGGTGTTGGGTGGGATGTCAACAATCGTTACATAATTATCAAGACCACTTTTTCTTAAGCACTTTTTAATGGCGTGACTTACTTCATTTGATATGAAGGGCAGCTTGGAGCCCTATTTCAAAATGGTATTTTGACCCCGGGGCGTGTCTTGCTCGCGTGAACTACGTGTGGGCCAGTCCCGCACGTAACATCACGGTGAGTGGCCTTTCTGTTCAATATGGCGTCTATTTGAAAGTTTGATCTTCATTAATACTTCAACCTTCTTTTCCACCGAATAATAAAAAGTATTCTAACATAAAGTACGTCCAGGCTCTGAGGAAGGCGAAGTCGCCGAAACGTCAGCCATCGTTCAATAACATCAAAAACAACGACAACGACAACGAAGATCTGTACCAACCTCGCGTCAGCTTAAGATCAGTTTATAAGATCACATAAATAAATATCTTATTGACTTTTCGGGACATTAGTTCATGTTTTGCATATTAAGACAAAAATGCCGAGATTTGAAAAATGGTAATGTCCCTCTCACAAACTGTTATTCTCTTCAAAGGTCCTGAAGAAATCCCAAACTGGAAGTTGTGGTGGAAGGAAGGCTGGATTGGGTTAGTTATATGCGCCTTGCTTCAAGAAGTATTTGTGGAAATATTAATTTCTTCTGTGTGGCGCAGTAGTCGGAGGCGCCCTGCAATGCACACATAGGATCGATTTTGCGCCCGTGGTCCATCAAGCCTTCCATCGTTCCGGGGTCGGCAAATTGGTACCAGACTTGTCAGGAAGGATAGCAGCACTGGCTCGATACGGCTGTAGGCCACCACGAATCATATGAAGGCCGGATATGCATTCAGTGACCTCCAACGATGCTCGATGAAGCCGAATGTGTGGCGCATCTCTCAGAGATTCATGAGTGCCGAGAACTTTGTCCTTTTTATTTTTAACCTTTATTAATTTCTTCTGTAGAATGTGACTCATAATTGCACACGATTGTAAAAGAACTAGAGGTGTAAGATTTACATATCCATGTAGCAATCCATGTTACCTCTTCGGACCTAAGATATTTGGTCAGTAACATTTTGAATTTCCTATTCAGTACCGCTACTTTTTTCTAGAGTAAATAAATGAATTTTGCCTCTCTATGTGTAAGAATACTGTAGAAGACTACATTAAAGAAAAGGAATCATTTAGGAAATATAACAAATTGTAACTGAATGGGTTTAGTTTCGCTAACTAATCTCAAAAGAGTTTAAAAAAGGAATGGCTGTGCAAGAACGAAGAAAACATTTTTCTGGTCAAGTCATTGTTGTCCCTTAACAAAATCTACTCTCAATTCGACTTACACCGCTTTTCATTTTCCTAAAGTGTTTAATATCCGCCATTTTAGTTTTTGGAAGCTGAAAATTTAGCGCAGAATGTTCGAGGATCAAAAGAAGCACAAATAACTCTAATAAATTACTGTGAGGTGTTGTAATATCTGTCGCGTTGCCATGGTATGCTAAGTAGACGAAACATAGTGCTGTTCGGTCACTCTTGCTTAGGTCCCAATACAGTGTTATATTTAATTAGCTGTGAGGTTAGAAAATGGATGTGACGGTGTGCTTCTATTAGAAAAATACATATATATAACATATATGTGTTTGATTCATTGTGAATTTAGATATGCTTTCCAAAGTGTAACCACTAACACATGGAAAGACGAGCTCTATTCCTTCTTTTCCGAAAAGAAAGCGGTACTTGATAAGATCGATTGGAATACATGGTTTTTTGCACCAGGAATGCCACCAAAACCAAAGTGATGTTGTCATATTGTCTTTATATTTGTATATTACTACGTAGTCTCGAACTCTTCCTAACGGTTTCCCATCTCATCGCGCTTGGCACATGTTCCAGGGTGTCGGACTGCAATGAACAGTGAGGAGATTCAGCCCCCCAGCAGGGTCTCCCAAGCTGCGAAGGAGTGCGGCGTTTCCATCAGGAAGCCCACCTGAGAGTAAGCCAATACCAGGATCCACCAACGTGCTGGTATCAAACTAGTCGAATGGTGGTAAATCTCCCTCCGATCCACAAAGGCGGCGACTGCCTGTGGTGGTGACGAACTGAGGCCGCCTTTGGCCTGGCTGACCTCGGACAGTGGCGAAACCAGCAAAACTCCGAAACAATGGAAATTATGTTTGGGCCCGAAAAACCAGTGAAGACGGGTCTGAGTATCCAAGTAAATATAGTCTCAAACCGCGAATGGCTGTGGGGCAGTTAGTATGTTCAGTGCTTTAATAAGATGCCTTAAATCGATACAGTAGGAGTGTATTATTTTGTATGAAGGGCAGAACTAGTAAAAGTAGAATTAAACCGTAAGAGGAACTATTACCTTTATAGAGAGATGTACTAGCAAAGTATGTTGTTATCAGTGATGATACAGATGTTTTCGTATCTTTCATTATTTTTTGAGTTCAACTCTAGTTATGTTTGTAGGAATTTTTTTTAGTTCTAGTGGACCACTGACGCTACGTTGCAGATATGATTCGCGATTAATGGAAGTTTGTTGTGCATTAGCTGCTGAATGGATATCGGCGCCAGAGAACAATCTTCCAGTATCATCATCGTTTGAAAACATGTCTCCAGCACAAAAAGTGACAACGTTGGCAAGGATTCGAACCTCTGGAAAATTTACGGCTGAAAAGGTTTGAAAATTTATTACTACTAGGACATCGTAGGTTTGTAATGACAAAGCCTTACTATTGGTCGTTTCAGCGCGCCAATAATAGATTTGATTTTTTCGACATTGGACTTTGCGAATACGATCCTTGACCCATGGGCGTATGAAGTGCAGTGGTCGGAGACGACCTACAGTACATATGAGGTCGATCCCCGCACCCTGGGCCCACCAAGCTCCCCATCCCTCTGGGGTCAGCAGGTTCACTGGCTCGATACATCGGTGAGCCACCGCGAGTCATTGCACAGGCCAGATATGCGTTTACTTAGCTCCAACGATGCAGTTATGAAGTCAAATGCATGGGGCATCCATTAGAGATTGATCAACGTCGAGAGCTTTATCCTTTATTATCCTTTAATCAATAACGTTCCGTATGGACGCCATAGAGTCCGTAGTCATGTGGACCAAACAGCCATGAGGAAACTATAGTCCACATTGGGTTTAGTGGGTTCCAGATTTTTTTCTTACTGCGCTATGCATACTCATTCGATAGCTAGTTGAAAGCAGGTTAAAAAAGTGGGAGTGAGACCAGAAAATCCGTTTTCTACACTTAACACTTCACAAAAAAACACCCTGTCGAATAAGTTCATTTCGCGGTGTTATACCATAAAATACGACACTTCGAAAAATGCACTGTATAGATTTTGTTCGTATTTTTTTGAGCAAACGCGAGGTGTTATTGTTCTTTGTTCACGATTAAGCTGACGTTTCGGCGAATTTCGCCTTCTTCAGAGCCTGGAAAGGTCAAGTTGATAGCAACTCACTCGGCCAGACGCCTCCATAACCAAACAAAGAAACCCCAAACCAAGATTTCAATCACTTTTTTTACAGCTTTGCACACTCACCGCTTTCTATGAGGTCTCCACTAAGTATGTCACGTAGAGACCAACCGCACAGAAATCAC